GCATAGATAACGCTGGTGTATGAGTTCATTTTGGGACATGGTTCAATTTGTTTTCTATAATTCGCTTGTGGGTATTGGTCTTTTGCAGTGGGAGGAAACCTGAGGACCTGGAGAAAACCCAGGAGACCCTACTCCTTACCACATACATCTGGGGAATTGATACCATGCCAGTGGACTCGTTGACAGACCTTATGTTATGATGCGCACACGCTAACCATTCGGCTATCCACCCCCATCCATGATTATGAAAAAATATACATGTACTCTCTCTTGCATGCTAAGAGCAATGCATAGCTCCGTTCTCCTCTATTTTCAAAAACCAGTTATCATCAATGGCCTTGGTTTTGTGGCTACTAGGTGTACATGTACTTGTGTTAATCTAGTGTTGAATTACTATAATAGCTATATCATTGCTCACCAAGAGTATTCAAGACCCTAAACTTATCAGGATTTAAAAATTACATGTAGCGATAAGTAATACACATGTTGAAAAATGTTATAGACTCTCTTCACTACTGCACGAGTGCCTCAGTTATATACCATTGAATAACATCACTTCAAATTTTATACAAATTAGGAATTGGGTGACTAGATCTTAATACCTGTAGTCTATGCAAGACAGGGGTTAGAGATGCATGTACTTGGTGTGGGTTTTTTTTCGGTATAGTCTGGTATCCTCCCACTTTTAAAGACTTCTAATTCTAAACAATTATTGAAATTAAGATATACTGTTTATCCCAAAATGACCTAGTTAGTGTTGTTTCAATGTTAAACCCGCTATCTCTCTTTGTATTTTGAATAGAAATGCAATCTATTGGGAACATTCGCTGATCAAATAAGATTATACTCATATCAGGTAAAATTATTATAAGATTATTTTACATATCAGTGATGATTGCCAAAAGATTAATGCCTTTTCAAACATTTATTTTCATGTCATACTTGGCAGTATTTTTCGTTATAAATGGTTTAGATTGTACATCTGCTTCACTATGTGGTCAAGGTACAAAGGATCGAGAACAAAGAAAGACATACTAAGGTCAACGTGTGTGTCATATGAAGTAAAGGAGTGTAAGAGATACATTGTCAGAGTGTACAGGGGGGTCAGGTGCGTGTATGACAGGTGCTAGTTTAAATGTGATAATCTACCTAACAACCTGTCATATCTAACTTAACATTCCATAGCAACCTTTCCTTCATACACTTGGTACACCTCATATGATTGGTTGATAGTCTTGACACTTGATTTAATTAAAGTCGTTGATCATGGTTTGCATTCATTGGACACACTACATGTATATAATGTACTATAATTTAAAATATAATTACAGAAACAAAATATCATTGGTAATTTTGACTTGGATTCAATTGGATTAAAAAAAGGTCCATCAAAAGATGTTAGCAAATTTTCAAATCATCATACATGTATCTTTGTAAATACTGATGATAATTGCTTTTAGAGATTCGATGTTCACAATATTGTAGTTTGCAAGGGATTCAGAATACCTCAGTTGGTGACCAGAAACACATTTTGTGTGAAAAAATTTTTTTAATAAGTTAATAAGAAGTTATTCTGGGGGCTGGGTCAACCATATGAAAAACAAGTTGAATTTAATCTTTTCTTTTAGACTTGTTAATAATCATTTCAAGTGTTTGCAGATCAAAAGGATGTCCACAATTGGGAATCAAGCTTTTCCACAATTTTTCATATGTTTTGAAAATGTTAAGTGAGATTTAAAATCGATGAATTGGGGTATTAAGATTATGAAGATGTTCAAGTGTTTAGTTAAATGTGTTGACCTTTTTGTACAGATCAAATTTCCGTTATTGAAAATTACCTCATCAAAGTTTAAATACATTTGTGGAAGTTGGACGGGAGGGAGTCTTGCATCCATAGTTAAAATTTTCTTTAAGATGTAATTGTTTGTTACTTTAGTCTTGAGGCACATTGGATAAAACAATTTTCTTGGTGGGGAAGAGTGTTTTATTAAACCAAGGCCCCAGGCTGCTCATGAAAGATTACCAGCTTGACTTGCTCTAAACCTTTCATTAACAGACACACTATTTATAATTGCTTAACTTGGTACATGTATCTGGTATTTTGGGAGAAAAACAATTGATTTGTGGTATAGGTACATTGAGATTTTTGGCACAATTGGGTAAAAAAAACCACAATGAAATATGGGTGTATTTCAGATTAAGGTGTCATGTTTGACATCCTTTCATTAAAACCTGCTTGTAATTTTATACTCTTGTTAAAATAATTACAAATTTAACCACTTCTGAAAGAATTCATTATTTAATTTACCATGATATAAACTGATGCAACTGATGATGTTTTACGTTTTGAAGTTTGATTAATGTAGAATTTTAGGTTTCTGGAAATTTAAAGTAAAATTATTTGTTAATTTGGGACTAATCTAGACTGATGTAACTCTTGATATTTGATTGGTGTTTGGTTTTGATTGGTTTTAGAATAGAATATTTCTTAGTTAAAGATACATTAAGCATGAGCTAAATCTGTCTATTGCAGGTCTTTCGTTTCGCTTCAAATGTTATTTAAATTATTAATTAGATATTTATTTACACGACAAGCCCATTATCATGATATCGTTAAGCGTAATTTAAATGGGATTAAAACATAATCTGCATTTAAAAATTTGATTGAACAATGGATAATTGAAACTTTGTTAATTATAATTATCGTAGCAATGGTACTTGACAATCGAGACTACATGTACATACATGTACAGTAGTTAAATCTTCAAACATCGATTACTTTGCTCAAAATAAAGTAGTATGACTAAAATTTCAATATATTCATTTTTCATTATCTATTTTTGAAACTATTATAGCAAGAATGACCAACTCTTTATCTACATATCTTAGATATTTGATTTATATAAAATAAAGGCCAAGGGCCATTGTTCGACTTAGATTTTAGTAGAAAATAAAATTTGTACAATATTAGTCCTTGGTGCTTTCAAGAGGGGTTTCTTTGTGCATCATTTTAACAGCATCGGGGAAACAGAGTTGAATCCAAACACTTAAAAAATTGTGCAATTAGGTAGAATAAACAGAGCTTTGTAATTTTGATATTGTAAAGTATTTTGGAAATTAAACGTATAGACAAAAAATAATAGGTGTTTGAAGTTATTATCTGTGAGCTCACATCTTTGTTGGAGTTACGTATGTTTATCTGCTGAACATTGTTTCCATGTAAGAGACAGTGAAAATCATTAAAAAACATCCTGCAAGGTAAACAATGGTTGTACTAACAAAATACGGCAAGTCCTTGTGTTCGGGGGTCTACAATTTGTCTTAAACACAGAACAGCTTAAACAATGTTTTCAATATGATTGCATTAAGAACAGCATCCGCTTTAACCATGGATTTTTGTCGGACTTGCACGTGTTGCATTCGAGCTAAGTTTTGATACGGAAGAGAGAAAATGGGAGGTATTGATTTTGGATGGTTTATATTGATAGTAATGTAGCTCTTCATGATCTGATGTCGATAAATAACCACCTTTTATGGAGTTATCTCAAGGAGATGGCTTCATTATTGAACCATATAGTGGTATAATAAGATTTATCGATGGTGCAACATTAACAAATGAATGCATGCTATCTTTAACGATTTTACGAGTCACAGATGTAAAAAAAGATGTAAAAAAGCTCCCTCGATAATAACAAATAACAGATCTTTTTTTTTACAATAATATTAACCTTTGCTTACCATCACACAAATGTATTGTTTTCGTTTGATTTTATTCATTTCATGAGATAAATGGTGATGGTTTTATAGAAGTATAAGTTCTTATACCACTAATAGTAAGGGCAGGAAGACCACACTTCACACACAAACAAAACCCACAAGACAACTGTGAAAAAAACACACAATTCGATTACCCATGCTTTTATAAGTTGCGGAATTTGGGGACTCCCTGTCAACTTCACATGGAAACCAATAGTTTGCATTTCTTCGAACAAGTTATCGCACAGCTACAGATAGTTGCACCAGACTACAATAAAGATCACCAAGTCTTCCTTGCAGAATTACTGAATTTTGTTCATTTAATTTTATATTTGACACAATTTCTTTTATGAATTAAAATTTGTAAAAAAAAGTGCATAAAATAATGCATACATGTACATGTATATTTGAAATAACCCAAAACAGCAAAGTTCATTGAACCAGCTTGTCTTATATTCCTGTTATATTACTGTTAATTGGAGACAGTTTATTATAATGATTATGACAGTAATTACTTGTTATAATTTGTAAGGTTACACCTGATAGGTTGTTTGTCTAGTCTTATCTCTCTTATCAGTGATCTAAACAGTCCTGATACACAATCACCATACAGCAGGCAAGCTACATGTATGTAGTATGTGCAGAAAAAACACACAATATACACAAAACCAAGCACAGAACCAATGAATAGGACACAAACACAGTTTACCTTTTGCTGTAGGCTATGCAAAGTATTATGTTTTGCTGTAGGCTATGCAAAGTATTATGTTTTGCTGTAGGCTAGAAAAGTATTAGGATTTATATCATATGCAAAACGTTACACCCCAAACAGGCGCCACTGTTGGCCTCACTCAGTATACATGTATGCACCTATATGGTCAGAAATATTGTCTCATAGCTTCTGATTTTATGAAATACATGGGTAATCCCCAAGACCTCATGCCAAACTTGACATTGTTTCCATAAATTGTTCCATCACGAGAAATGACATATAAAAGTACTGGTATGATCCTTTCCCCTTTCCCCAAACAAATTTTCTGCCCCTTCTTAAATCACATAATTGCTTGAAACTCCCTTCTATGACTTTTCTAAAGATGATGACTGTATAAATATTTACAAAGAATGATAATCTGTCAAGCATGATGATGTAGTTCATATGAAAGGGTTCTACATATATTAGATGTAATGGTGGGAACAGTGTTAGTTACTAATAGTTAATACATAGAGTTTCTTCAATTGCTTACCTCTTTGTTAACTCTTTCCCACTTCCATTCATTAATGATGTCAGACTATTTTTTTTGCTTGATAATGAAATAGATTCAATAATGAATCATCTCCTGATGACAAGGTTTAATTGGTTTATAAATAACTGAAATCATAAAGCTAGCTGAACTGTGTGGGTTGTTTATCCGTGAGAAAAGTTTGAGCTGCACTTAAAATCGTTAGGAAAGTCTACCTACGGTCCAGCAATATCATTACATCATAGTAATTTGTTCCTAAAATCCACCCAGAAACAAATCTGCTTAGTTGCGCTGATACAATATGTATTATGTACATTGAAACATATCAAGTTACATGTAATAAAGAGTAAAAACAAATGTTAGTGTTAAGAATTAAAAAGGTTTTTTAAAATGAAATGAGTGAAAATTAAGCTTTATGTACCGGTACATGTACAATGTATCAAGTATATGACAAATAAAGGGGACCGACTCATCTGAGATATATGTAAAAACAGATGGGTAATGTAAGTAAGGGATTGAAAATATGAATAGTAGACACCAGACTAAGAAGACAAAAATTCATTTATATGAGTAGGTGGTCTGTTCCAAGTATCAACCCACAAAGACATACAATAACAATTCCGTTCTAAAAGACATTGTCATGACCCTACAACCCACTAAATTTTCTTTTTATTAAAAGATCACAGTTTAGGTTTAGAATAAGACATGAAATGGTTTAAAATTAACATCTGTTTTCTATTCATTGATCCTACTACGTACAGTTTCAGTACAATGTTCAGATTGTATTTTTTTTTTATAAGACTTCCATGAAATGTATTCATAGAAATAAAACAATCTTGAATCTATACATGTATGTATTGTTTTTTATTTGTTAAGTAATTCAATTTTAGATTTGATCACTTGGAAAGTCTGAAATGTCTTAGAGCCAATGAATTGTGAAAAAATAGATACAGAAACTTGTACATAAAAATACTGGTTGGACAAGATACATTTTGAATATTTTGAGTGTTTGATCGGTATGCAAGTATCACATTAATAACATGTTGATACACAAAGATGCATAAATGACTTGAATTACCAAACGCCCCCTTATAATGTTGACTTAGTCATTCAAATTATCTTGAAAATAAACATAAGTAAGCTGTCTAATTCTATTCAAATCATTGCTAAATCTCTCATCCTATTCTATGGTATACAAAAAGACTTAGCATTAATATGTGAAAAATACACTAAAATAGATTCGATATTACTTATTATGTTTGATCTCGATGTATTCCCATACACTTATACTCACAGTAATCTTGCTTGACCATTAAATTGTCATGTATCTATTTGAAGAAATTAAATATGAGGCTTACATTGCGATGAGTCTATGATTATTAAGCCGAATGTCCTCAGTATAAGAGCTGGCTAGATTAGATATTGGGACAACATAGATATGCTAGAGTTTATGTTAGATTTTCAAAGAAAATAACAAAAGAATTTATTAATTTTTGAGATGAAAAGTTGAAATAAGAATTAATGTGTGAGGCACAGGATTGATGTGAAAAATATATATATCTTTAAGGGACAATATTCCAGCCTAACTGGAAAATATAGATTTCCAAGTCATACACAATAAAATGTAGTGTAAAATTGTTAAAATCAGTTAGTCTTGGGGCATTGAGTCTTTAATGATTTCTATAAGACTTCATTCATCTCAACCAAACTTGAGATCTGTCACAAACGAAACTATGTTATTTGTTCTGTGCTGTCATGGTTATGCAGGTGAATTCTCATTTTTTGTTACAGCCAGACTCTGGCATCAACTAACACAAAGGTTCATAGACACTAAAATTTCTAAAAAACTAAAAATGTCCCTGTTCAATAAAAATTATATTGTGACCCATTAAAAGTACATGTACATGTATCTTTAAATTAAACTAGTGCATACTTTTGAAATATTATGTGAACGATGTGGATTGTTGTGCTTTGTATAAGGAGCTTTTGATGACAGACAATAATAATGCACTTGTATTTTGATAAAAAGACAAAGGGGTTGAGACTCATGGACTTCCAGCGTTTGACTAGCTATGCTGCTAAAAAAAAAAAAAAATTTGCACCAAAGTTTAGGGTGCTGATTGATAATGAAGTAGTCTACAGGTTCACACAACCGTGCTTCAGGTATATCCCTACACCTGCAGCAGATGATAGGTTGATGGTTTGCAACACTGTAATCAAGTTGGACTAGATTCTAAATATATCATGTAAGTTGTAAGGTAATAGGGGTATGACTCACCCCTCTCATAAGAATGTTAGTATGTAATGACATGCAACATGACCGCAAGGAAAAGTTCTCAAGTAAATGTAACTAAACTGTAAATAATTAGAATGTGAACCATTCATGAATAGTGTACTAAACCTACTATAGTGTTATTAAGGTACATGTATTTTAACAATAGAATCTAGTATGATGGTATTAATGATGCAAAGGCTTTGATTATGTTGATATTTTATTGGTTCCATGACTTTTGGGTGATCTTTGATGATGATTGGGGAAGGACTAATTACCGGGGTACCAAATATTTCAATTTAATGTTACCTCTTTGAGGTCTTAATAAATAAATACATATAGATACATGTATGTGTGTCTTGTGAATAATATTTTGTTTAAAAGCGTTGGAGAAAAGCAAGAAAGTACTTTTTGTTTTTCTTAATTTTTTGTCTCCCCAAAATACAAAAGTAGGAAGCAAAATTTTTAATAGAACAAAAATTATATTGGTGTGGGCCAAATATATATGTATCCTGTGTTAGTTTGGTGTTATCTAGTTGTTTTGGGGGTGGGGGGGTGGAGGTTCGACATTTAATGATCTATTTAAGCCCAGGTTTGTTATTGACATAATTGATTTAACAGCTAATACATAATGTTTGATTGGATCAGAGCGGAAAACTGTAGGAATTGATGTAGCATCAGATTGTATAGTATTCCCATCATTAGTAAATATATTGTTTGACATTGTTTATGGTATATCCGTTTGTATATATTATTCATATATGTTACTTACCGCTTTCAACACCTTAATCTAGATTAGCATCTCTCTCCATACAGATACCATCTACCTTCATGGGAAACAAACACATATCTCTATTTACTTATAGTATGAGCTGTAGCATAATGAGAAAACAGTTTAAGATAATTGTCTCGTAGAAAACAACGCAACAGTTCTGATTGATTTTACAGTTCTGTGGCAATAAATATCAGTGACTTACGGATGTGTTATTTCAATTTTCTTTGTTGCTCTTTTGGTCCAGATTGTTAACTAACCATAATGTCACTCTATGCAATGAAAGGATCAAGTTTAGATCATCAGGGCACATCTAATTTTTTATAACAAAAACCCTTCCTGATTTTAGTTTCAAAATGATTAGTGTTGACCAGATGTCAGAAATATTAATTAGTAATATTAATTTGATAAAATCAACTAATATAGATTATGGATTTATGAATTAATGTTTTTTCATTGTTGTAATTTTTATTCGTCCACATGGAAATGTGGTCATATATTGCCATCACCCCTGTCCGTCCGTCGTCCACAATTTCTTGTGAACACTTTACTTACAGACTACATTTATCATCTGATTGTTTTGAAATTCAGTGAGATGAAGAATCCTATTTAATCTCAAAAATTTCTTCTGGAGTTATTGACATTGTTTCACTCTGTTTATCATTGTGAATGCTCAAACAACAAAAGTTATCATCCGATATGCATGAAATTTATATGCATCATTTAAATTAATGAAACGAAGATCCCTATTGAATTACAGCAATTTCAGTTAATATCGTCTAGAGTTATCACCCTTGTTTCACTCTTTTGAACCTTGTGAACGATCTACATGTAACTACAAAAGTATGAAATTTATATGCATCAATTAGATTAGTGAAACGAAGAAGCCTCTTGAATTTTAGCAATTTCTATCAATTCTAAATATATGGCCCTTGTTTTGCTTTGTTGAACGTGTGAATGTTCGAATGACAAAAGTTATCATCCGATCTGTATGAAATTTATATGCATTATTTGAATTAGTAGAATGAAAAAGCCTGTTGAATTTCAGCAATTTCTGTAAATTACTTCTGGAGTAACTTTCCTTGTTTCAGTTTGTAGGACCTAGTGAACCCTCTAACGACGAAAATTATAATCTGATTTGTATGAAATGTTTTGTAAATGCCCCCAATTTTCTACAAAAGAATAAATATACGAAAACCCTTGTGGGCGTATATTTCATTGCGTGGCAACCTATCTTATTTTTTTAAGTTATACTATATGTAGTAATGGGTCCGAGACCAGCTCGCAGAGTTGAATTGTCAGCACTGTAAATTAAGTATTGTTTAATGGTCGAGAGCGAGACATTAAGTAATATATTGTAACAACATGAGGGCCGTGAGGCCCGAATGTTTTTACAATATATTACGCAATGTCTTAAGCTGGAGACCATTAAACAACTTAAAATACAGACACTTGCACGTGCTTTGCAATGAAATACGTCACTCGAGTTCAATATTTTACGAAGTTACGCTTGGCACATTGCCTGTACGATTATTTGAAATAATGGTACTCCAACATCTTTATTTTAATTATTATTATTATTATTCAGAAATAAACTGACGGATAAAGGCAAATATTTTGATTTGTAAGATTAACAGTTTCTAGAAATCTGAAAATGTCCACAAATTTGAAAAGTAGAATAGCGTTTGTTTAATATTTGAATAACGGTAGTAAAATTGGTGTTTTATATGACTACTAGCCACGTTAAACATGTAAATGTTCCATTAACTGAAATAAACTTAATCATTTATTATTGGTTTTCCTATGGAAGGTTTGTGTGTTGTACATGTAGTTTTCTAACATTTGTCTCTGATCATATCAGCACTTGACTTATAATAGCAAGTACCTGTAGTCACCATCTTCAAATACTACAACTAAAATATATAACTTTGATCTACACTCAAAGAATATCTTTTAACATGATCTACACTCTAAGAATATCTTTAAACATGATAAACACTATCTCGGCAGCTGTAGCTGGTGTTGTGCATGAGACATTGTATGCTTATATGTCTTGGCACACAGCGTACCACTTTCGTTTGGGAATTTTTCTATGTGGCAACTAAGTCCAGTAGTTAGTTGTTGTTTGATTTTGATGATTTAGTAGCATATCTGACCCATACACTACACATGTTATTATCATGAGAAAATATTTGTAATCCAAATTATTTTT